TATATATATGCATCCAGTGCATGGTTTGCACAGGCAGCGCAGCACACCTTATCGCGCATTCAACTCTCGTACCAATCCCGCCTGTGACTGGCACATCGATAAGAGCGCGGTCCTGTTGTCAAAACGTGTAAGCAATTGACATAGAGCCAACAAGTGTGGTCATCATGTTTTTCCATGTGTGTACCAAGTGATAAAAATGCATGATGAAAACCTTGATGGTCATTGCTTGTTTTTGCCACCGATTGCCACCGAATAACAATTAGCTCAAACAGGTAATAAATTCCCACCACTGCGTAACTAACGTTGAACAATTGGACTTGGTCACATTGTGAGCAGTTTCAGAGGATAAAACGCAACAGCAGCACATATCTTAGATGGAATAGAAACGTCGACTGTATGCACTGATGCAGACCTAACGATAGATTCCAATAAAAGCGGTTAACAAATTTGCCATCACTTCAAGAATAACGTGATTGGTAAATGTTCTGCCAAAAGCTAATGAAGTTGAAGGATAGGTCACACATTCATCTCACACATTCTCTGTGAACGCTGTTCAAACAAGGGTGTCACTGACCCAACTGGTCAAGTCATGTGATTGATCGGACAGTTCAGCTCGTTCCAAATCAAGTAATTTTTAACCGATCGGTCGGTCGATGAAGTGTATCAGATAGAGTCAAATAAACCCGGTAATTGTTCACAACCACAATCACACCGATGCTTCTGTCCCGGCGTCCTAGGAAGTCCTAGAATAGTAGAAGCAGCCGCTAGCTGCTCAACGCACCCGAGACCATCATTTTTACCTCTGAGACGAGCGTGACATCAACTGTGAGTTCCTTCCATAACTGTTGACCCGTTGATTCACAATGAGTGAATAATTTATTTGATTGGTGTTATACTGAATATATCAATCAACCGCTGAAAACCCATCAGAAAAAATATTTTTTCATGCTAAGGGATTCAAATTTAGGCTTCAGGAAATAGCTGTCAATTTGCACTCTGCCAAGGGACAAAGATAGAGACAGAGCTAACTGTCACGAGCTGCTCACAGAGAGATGAGTAAAACACAGCAAAACTGATATTCTGCTTACTTTATATTGGGAGAGGGTAATGTCTATGAGTTGTAATACACTCTATGCGTTTATTTCCAAGTGTCTAGTCGCTAGCTCACTATCAATCGACACTAATTTTGAATACCCTTATTCGATGTGAGTATTTTTCAACTGAGATCCATTTCCTTATGCTCGTGAATGTTGTCTAAAATAACTTCACTAACAGATTAGCCGAACTCAGCACTTATCATCTTGTGAGAATAAACAACTAGAGTGTCCTTTGGTACAGCCTATCCTAATCAGGCAACATCTCACCGCATTCACTTCACTTGCCGATGCACTATCCTTGTTGCTTTCTCGCACCGTTCCATACGGATCTTTGATGTACGCGTGATAATGTCCACCGCCAGTGCTGCCTCCCACGTGCAGAACGATCGAGAACAAATTGTATTTGGCTTTCTGTGTGTTTGTGGAGGGGGGGGGGGCGGAGCGGGAAGATATATGCATAAAGACTGAGAGCTCCACATTCGTTAGTAAACGTAGCGAAACAAAACACAAAAGGTAAGTATAGACATAATCGGCACCATTCGTTTTTAGATCTGTTACACTACCGTCCCCCATTTTGGGTTCTCCTTTATCAACTACTGCAACAAAACTTAGCTCTGTTTTTGATCTTTGCGTCCCGTTAACTATGCTTCACGTCCTTGGCATGATTCGTATGCTGTCACCGTGATCCAAGCGATATAACGATTGTCGTGTGTTCATCCAATTTTGATACCGACAGCTGCGGAGGCTCTGTGACCTGATCGTATGACCACATAGAGTTCCCGTTCAATCCCGGAAACTGACGGACGCATGTCACGAAATAAATTAGCCAATCGGATCGCACTTCTGAGCACGTCATTGAAAACATAAATTCATCAGATTTTCGCCTAATAATTACAAGTTCATTCACGTAATTTGACTCCGACAATTCCATACTAAGATTTATTTGTAAGGTTTTGCTAAGGTTTATGGAAGCAGTTTTTTAGTTTGCACAACAATTAACCATGCACTTTCGCGTGCCGGTTTTGGTTGCTGTCTTTGGCTGTCCATAATAGTAAGAGAAAGGCAGATAAGATGGAGCTGCCCAAACAACAAAGCCTATTCACTTACCCTATTACTTCCCCAGTTAGAGTAAGACTGGGTGCTGCACCAATCCAGTCTGTACACTTTGAAGGTGCAAAAGACATACCGAACATAGCTACGCTGGTACTCAAGCTATCCCTAAAAGCTTGCAACTTATGGAAGCACATCAAGCACAAACATTTAAAGCAGAGACAGGAAAAAAACTGACAGCCTTTTAACTTATTTTATTAAACTAAGCCATTACAAAGTGATAAGAACGACTTAGGACGAATGCACCGAAATTCTTTGGGGTTCAAATTTACCTTGTTCGTTTTATTCATAAAAAAGTTGCTCATATCCAAAAGCAAAGGAAAACTGCACATCTTTTCCAGCTTAATCGACTGCATGTGTTTCGCATCAAAGTAGAACCGCGAAAGTGAAAGAGTTAAAATTGGTGGTAATTCCTCGAAACGCGTAATCTGTTGAAATCGGGGAGGCATGAAAGAAGGAAGAGTGTGATCTGCTAGGGACACAAACAATTCATTTAATTATTTCATNTTCATTATATGCCTATGTATTCCTGTTGTATTGCGATAACCAGAATACCACAAAACTACGCTTTCGTCAAAATAGGCTGTTCATCAAGGTTCGGATCTCTGTGCTTTGATTACTTGCTCATTGTAGCAAATAACTTGATAGAGTAAAGTAAATTCTACCATGTATTTTGACTTCCCTGAATCGGATTGTGTTTTTTGTACCAATGGTCCAGCAGCCAAAACTTGCAGTGTATTTAAGCACCGACCAAACTTACTTTGACCGCATCCACTTTGCATTGACATGCTTCACAAAAGTACTGGTTCTCACCAGTAAGTCGTTCCAGTTGAGTGTGAGCTACCAATGATGCCTCCACTGAGTCATGATCCATCACAGATAAGTTGATGTCTTGGAACTCATCCTATCCGTCCATGGTAAGAGTGAACGAGATCAACTGATCTGTCACTAAGAAGGAACTCACCTACATTTCGTTCACTAATTCGACCACACCGTAAGCAACGCACCTGTTTGAAACATTAGACAAAAAAGTCAATCAGTCAAAACCACACCGAGCCTGATGCATGCTTACCCTTGTGCATTGAACACCTCTGTACAAGTCATTGATCAAGTTAGTTTCCGTGGTCCCTTTCAAAGCGATTTCGATTTGTTCGAACAACAAACGATTCAGCTCTTGAATATCTTGATGTACACAAACCTACACAATTGTGGATTAGTTGACTCATTTTCAGTTCGAAATGAGTTGGTGTACCTCGTCTTCAGTCCATCCGAAGCTATCTGTCAGTGGTTTGGAAGAGATGGCACCGCCTTCGGTGTTTATTAGAGCGGAAAACAAATTCAACATTTCTTGAATCATCTATGTAATCGGTTAAAATTATGCCGACTTCTTCACTTACTCTTTTCAGTTGTTCTTTCCTTCCGAATTTTGTCAGATTGAACAAGCGACCTACAATATAACAAGTGAGTTCACAACAAAGTAATCAGATAAAGTTCGACTGTACTAGAAAAGTATTGAATTATTTTCTGATGAAGTTATCAAGTTGAGTTACTTTTTCATTGTTTGGTTCCTAAAAGTCTGTTCGGTTGATCACATTTCAGCAGTTCTACGGGCTTGCGACTTGGAGCAAATCAATCGTCTCCCTGTTCACGCTTCGTATTCATGTAATTCATGTTCTCAAGTGAACTATTCTAATGCTTTTCACACACAAGACTAATACTATCTTCTATCTTTTATTTTGCTTCCTTTTTTCAGGAAGGGAGGAGCAGTCAATCAGAGGGCTGTTATACAACGTAAAAACAGTGGAAGCTAGGCGGTGGTAGTGGGATTCCAACACATCACCGGAGCGGTAATTTGATGGCCTTTACCAGTCCGTCACCCCTGACCTTAATTTTCTCCCATAACAACAAAACGTGAAAACGCATTTTCCCTGCATGCTCCGTAATGTAGCTGCAAATAAAATGTAATCAGTTGATCATAATCATATGGACCGAAGTGCATTTCACGTCCACATTTGGGATCCAAATTGGTCGTTTCCATCACAGAACTACTTTTGTTACACTCGGTGTTCCGATCGGTGTTAAGGATGACTGGCACACAAGTGTGTCATTCTGGCATCAGCGTGTAACCCGATCCGTCGCAAGGGTGCTGTGACTTGAAAGTTGTTTGAAACGACCTTGAAACACTGCTCTATGACCAAGCAAAACTAGGTTTCGGTTGGCTAAATTTTAAATCCAGACAAATCTAAGGTTGTTTTTATAGATAAAACGTCTCTCTGTACTACCTTTTGTTTCGGAAATGCAACAAGAACCCCATCAAAATCGTTTAATACGCAAGAAAAATTATCAAAACATCATTTACTGTAGAATGCCTTATTATTTGTTCCCACACAAAACCCGTGCAATCGAGTCGGAAAAAGCTAGTCATATAAAGAATACTGGAGCAGAATGTACCAAATATGGAATGATTTAGGATCATAGTGCTCGGGGAAACAAGCCAAAAAGACAATGCTTTCCTTCAATTGGATTTTCACATTATTTTCATGTGTAACCGAAACCCAATCGTACCTTATTACTACCATTATCGTTTTCGAACCAAGCTTCCTCGCAAGCTGGTAATATATATATATATATATATATATATATATATATATATATATATATATATATATAT